TATAAATATATAACTTAAAAACCATATATTAATTATAATTATATTAAATAAATATGTATTTAAGTCATAATACAAATATGACTTAATTATACATTTCAATAGATTTAATGGTATTCATCATTAAATGGGTCAAATTGCACTTATGTACGTACACATACATATGTATGTACATATATACATTTGAGCTTTGTTATCAAATATATGGAGAATATCCGTAGCGATTTGCGCATTGTAAATATGCGAATCTGTAAGCGTACATTGAAATTCGCATCACTTTTCTCATTTAACAATGAAAATGCTCAATTCTGCTATTTTCGACCCCCTAATGTTAAATATTGGTGAAATCCACTAATAGAAAACTCAACCCCTCCAAAAAGAGGAACATTTTGACAATCGGCACACCATGAACCTTCTCCAAAAATGTACGTTCTCTGATGTATACTACTCAAAACGTTTAACATAAGAGCGTTATTTGTCTTATTTATAGTTACTAAAAATATTCATCTCTTAAAAATGGAATTAAATCGCGACACTTGCTCGCGATTATTTTTTAAAACTTTTGACCTGGATTTTGGAGATGGAGTTCCATCAAGGACGCGTGTGCGCTGGGTAATTATATGCATTTGTGGGATATCAATATTGCATGAACATTTACTTGAATCGATTGATCGATAGAAATGTTAAAAATACGATAACGGTGCTTCGAATCATGTCTATGACAACGTGACGAATGATGAATAATGGATTAGGTGTTTCAAAATGAGCCGAGTCTACTAAGAGCTGTTCGACTACTAAGTATTTCCAAGCAAATGGTTACCTGTATTTTTCGAAAAACTGAAAATTTCGCAATCATACCACTAAAACAACGCAGGGCAGTAAACTATGAATGGTACATAACCATTTGTTTGCCAATTATCTTCCACGAATTTAGGTGAACTAAGCACCGAACACGAGTCACTATTCACCCATCGATGAAAATATACATACAGAAAAATCAAATAAATTTGGCATTTTGGCCAAAATATCGGCTTACCATTAGATGTTATGTTAATAGGTTATTGCGCCTATTTATAATAGTTTAATACAGACGGGAGTTTTACAGTTACAGTTTTGGTTTTATGCTTCGATTAAATCTTGAATCGCGTTTTGCATTGTAGAAATAAATTGCGTCATACTTTGGGTAAAATTTAAATTCTTTTTGGGGCAATTGCGTTTGAACAGTGTTTACAATTACTACATTTCTTTGTTAAATCCTTTTTCATAAGTGYACTTTGGACATAGGAAGTAAATCAACTATCATATGAGGAAAACAAAACTGAAAGAAAGCAACGTTATACTTTTATGTTAAAACTCCATTTGGCAGCGTTTAGAGTTGTATCTGCGTAAACTTACTTTAGTATGCAATCCAACAACAATTTTTTTAAACTCATATACAAGTTTATGGTTGTCATAAAACGTTGTGAGTACCCCAATTATATAATAATATTTGTCTTTATTCTTTTATGTTTGCATTTTGATGATTTTCTACAATAAATTCCTATATACATAGTAGTCACTCAAAAATAACATAAGTAAGAATAATAACTAACCTACCTTCTATTTTTTTATAATCTAAAAACTGCTTTTAACTTTTCTAAAACTTTTTATTTGCAGCATTTAACGCTGGTAATGTCTAAGATAGGTTGACGTATTTTTTCAATTTAACATATAATTGTTATTAAATATACGTTTATCGCTTGGGCCTGAATGTAAGGTGTAAATGAGAGCCTGTATACGTTTAGTTCTTCTGTACATCAAGCATTGGTACAGGTAAAGGTTCCATTTGCGTTGGATAAAATTTGCCCACATGATTTCAATTCCGTGAATACCTCCGTGAAAAATCCTGGTTCAGCATTGATTTTCAACATTTTACTACTCAAGCGATTGACAATGATAAGGCATCTGAAATAAATGAAATGTTAAATCAATTATTTCAACTAAATAACCAATTTTATCAATCATATAAAAATATTGCGTACATTTATCGCATGTGGCATTACAGTTTCTATATTTTTGTATTACACGCAACACGCAAAACTGCCCGAAGCATTGTGATAAACTATAACTTTAGTTGTAAGTTGACAAAATTTAGGTATACATATAATATATGTAGCTCTTATAWTGAAAGAGTGGGGCACTCAGTGCCCATAATAATTCTTCATAAATTTTGTATTAAGAAGCGTAATTTCAAAACGCAYAATTTTCAAGTGAACGGTTTATTTTTTAGTTGTGACGAATATAATTTTTTGAAATGAGTGAAGATTTGGTGATTTATTTGGTCAACTTACTCCGTAAATTGACGGTAGAAGATGATTAGAACATTTCATATTATTTGAATGCTAATGGTATCGATGATGATGATGGTGGAAGAAAACCTAAATTTGGTGGCGACCACGAATAGATACCCAGTGACCAATCGGACTTCGGTGACTTCGATAATAATGCTCAGTCTATTAGAGATCCACGTATCCCCGAGAAGGCTGCTGTAGATGTGGACTCTGACGAAAGCGGAGATACAAATCCGTTCATTCCATAACAAATCCTGATGATGTAGTAGATTATCCAAGGGAGTTTTTGACCTCTCTGGAGTTACCAAGATTTCCACCACATAACTTGGGACGCAAAGTTGGTATAGTTATTATGATATAGCGTAATTTGAATCCATCGCGACTTTGCAACGGTACTGGACATTCGGTAGAAAGGCTTATGCCGAATTTGATTGAGGCAACCATTATTAACGGAAAGTACGCAGGTGAAAATGTATGTATTCCTCGAATACCAATGACTGATCTTCCATTTGACTTCAAATGATTCCAATTTTCAGTTCGCCTTGCGTTCGCAATGACAATTAACAAGTCGCAAGGCCAATCGCTTAGTGTTTGTGCGATAAATTTAGAAAATCATTGTTTTTAACACGACTCAGGATTTGTGGATTCACTTTCATTTACTTTGAGAAATTCAACTATATCATTAAATATAATTTTTTCTTTTCGAATATAAAACAAAAAAAAAAAAAAGTTTTCTTCATCTTTTAATCACCAACCGAAATCTTACAGAAAACGAAGCCATATGGTGGCGAAATGGAGTTCGCTGTGTTTGCTAGTATCTTTGCAAATATTTTCATTACGAATGTATAGTATAACAGTGAGCCTGTTTTGACTAAAACCTCTGTATTATATCAGTGTTAAGTCACAGGTCGTACCACACAGATGAATATCATACATCCAAATCAGCAGTATCATCGCTTTGAATAACAAAACTTTGGCTAAGCTAAGGCTAGAATTATTATTTAAAAGTCAGTTTGAATTGTTGGGAAAGGGCCTCTTCTCTTGACGAGATAAAGACAGCATCGAAGGAGGAGCTGAAGAAGACAAATAAATTATTTTTTGAAGTGCTTCGAAGATTGGAAAAACTGTTGGCACAAGTGTATAATATCTCATGGGGATTGCTATGAAGGGGACAAAATAGATATTCATGAATAAATAAATAATTTTTGAAAAAACACAAAATTCGCGATACTTTTTGAACACACCTCGTATGCTACTAAAAAGTTTGACATAAGAGCGTTATTTGTCTTATTTACAGTTATTAAAAATATTCAAAAGAGCAAAAGAACAGCTGGTACGACGAGGAGTGCCGTGTCGCAGTGGAAAGAAAACAGGCCGCCTATCTCGCAACGTTACGATCGACCACAACACGTGCGGGATGGGATAGATACCGAGAGTTGAAGAAGGAAGCGAGACGCATTTGCAGACA